CACGTGTACCATACAGGCAGGATATAAGAAAGGTGTACCATACAGACAGGATATAAGACACATGTACATTTTTCCATACAGACAGGATATAAGACACGTGTACCATACAGGCAGGATACAAGACACGTGTACCATACAGACAGGATATACGACACGTATACCATACAGACAGGATATAAGACACGTGTACCATACAGACAGGATATAAGACACGTTTACCGTACAGACAGTATATAAGACACGTGTACCATACAGACAGGATACAAGACACTTGTACCATACATAAAGGATATAAGACATGTGTACCGTACAGGCAGGATATAAGAAACGTGTACCGTACACACAGGATATAAGACACGTGTACCATTCAGACAGTATATACAGTTGTGTGACCGCACAACGCACCAAAATCACCGTGCATACATCGTTTACACACCGTCCGCACATCGTCCACACATGGTGCGTACAACTGGGCGATTTTACAATCGTTCGCCCCGTTGTGCGCTTCTCTCTGCACAACTGTGCGATTTGGTACAATTTGTTGATCAATATTACGGAATGAAAAAAACCTCGGAAGGCTCGTTTGCAATAATGTACACTGTTTGTGTTATTGTAATTTCTCATCACAATACTTAACATTATGTACAATTTTACAATGCATGTAGCACAGTATTACAGTGACCGTTAGACTGTCAAGAATGGATTTGGCTCTTATCTAGGTAACAGAACAGGTAAATAACAATTTGATGAGTGACCTGAGTTTTACCTGGCCTGTGCCTGACGGGTAGAGATGATATGTGATACCGTGTACCGTTATGAGAACACAACTGGACGTTTAGTATTTGTTATTTGCATTCGTTTTAATCTAAAGCTCACCTTCTCCTGGTTTTCACACCTTGGCGCGTTACGTAAGTGCCTCGGGCGGGGGATAACTACGGTCCAGGTACAAAGTGGCTATGTTTACCTGTGTTGCCGAGACTGTGTTGTAATTTTACATGTGTCGATTATGGTCGTTTAAAAAACGCAGAAAACGCCATTTCTAAATTTAAAAAAGTATAGACAGAAAGATAAGCTTGTAGACATAGGGAAACATACTAAATAAATCATGTTTATATGTTTAAAAACCAAACCGTATATATTATTAAGCCCTTCCTCAATTTACACCAACCAAGATTGTTATCGCACAACGTTCGTCGATCGCCGGACAAATGTGCGCAAGCAATGATCGTCCATTTTGTTATCGTTCGCACTTCGTGCACACATCGTGCGATCCCACAACTGTAAGACACGTGTACCATACAGACAGGATATAAGACACGTGTACCATACAGACAGGATATAAGACACGTGTACCATAAAGGCAGGATATAAGACACGTGTACCATCGAGACAGGATATAAGACACGTGTACCATACAGACAGGATATAAGACACGTGTACCATAAAGACAGGATATAAGACACGTGTACCATCGAGACAGGATATAAGACACGTGTACCATCGAGACAGGATATAAGACACGTGTACCATCGAGACAGGATATAAGACACGTGTACCATCGAGACAGGATATAAGACACGTGTACCATCGAGACAGGATATAAGACACGTGTACCATCGAGACAGGATATAAGACACGTGTACCATCGAGACAGGATATAAGACACGTGTACCATCGAGACAGGATATAAGACACGTGTACCATACAGACAGGATATAAGACACGTGTACCATCGAGACAGGATATAAGACACGTGTACCATCGAGACAGGATATAAGACACGTGTACCATCGAGACAGGATATAAGACACGTGTACCATCGAGACAGGATATAAGACACGTGTACCATCGAGACAGGATATAAGACACGTGTACCATCGAGACAGGATATAAGACACGTGTACCATACAGACAGTATATAAGACACGTGTACCATACAGACAATATATAAGACACGTGTACCATAAAGGCAGGATATAAGACACGTGTACCGTACAGACAAGATATAAGACACATGTACAATGTAACGTACATACATGATATAAGACACGTGTACCATACAAACAGGATATAAGACACATGTATCATACAAACAGCATATAAGACACGTGTGACATACAGACAGAATATCAGATACGTGTACCATACAGACAGGATATAAGACATGTGTAACATACATACAGGATATAAGACACGTGAATCATACAGACAGGATAAAAGACATGTGTACCATACAGAAAGGATCGAAGACACTTGTATCATACATAAAAGATAAAAGACAGACAGAATATAAGACACGTGCACCATACAGACAGGATATAAGACATGTGTACCGTACAGACAGGATATAAGACACGTGTACCATACAACCAGGATGTAAGACACGTGTACCATACAGACAGGATATAAGACACGTGTACCATACAGACATGATGTAAGACACGTGTACCATACATAGAGGATATAAGACACGTGTACCATACAGACAGGATATAAGACACGTGTGACATACAGATAGGATATAAGACACGTGTGACATACAGACAGGATATAAGACATGTGTATCATACAGACAGGATATAAGACACATGTACCATACAGACAGGATATAAAACACGTGTGACATACAGACAGGATATAAGACACATGTACCATACAGACAGGATATAAGACACATGTACCATACAGACAGGATATAAGACACGTGTACCATACAGGCATGATACAAGACACGTGTACCATACAGACAGGATATACGACACGTATACCATACAGACAGGATTTAAGACACATGTACCATACAGACAGGATATAAGACACGTGTGACATACAGACAGGATATAAGACATGTGTATCATACAGACAGGATACAAGACACTTGTAGCATACGTAAAAGATACAAGACACGTGTACCATACAGACAGCATATAAGACACTTGTGTTATACAGAAAAGATTGAAGACACGTGTATCATACAGAAGGATATAAGACACGTGTACATTTTATCATACAGACAGGATATATGACACTTGTGTCACACAGACAAGATGTAAGACACGTGTTCCATACATAGAGGATATAAGACACGTGTACCATACAGACAAGATATAAGACACATGTACCATACATACAGGATATAAGACACGTGTACCATACAAACAGGATATAAGACACGTGTATCATACAGACAGGATATAAGACACGTGAATCATACAAAAAGATTGAAGACTCGTGTATATTTATTATTCAAAAAGGATGGAAGACACATTAGTCATACTGACAGAATACACTCGTCCTCATAATAATACACTAACATTCACAATAAGGTGAGTTCAGACAGAAACAGCTTGAAGACATGCTTTATTGAGTCACTCTCCATGCCAGAAATAGACAGCTGTTGATGTTCCGAAACTTTTGTCCCTCCCCCAACCCTTGTATGTGTTTAGTGCAATTCTCGACGATAAACAAATTTGATCTTGATAAAAGGCCATTAAAGGCCTACATGATGGGCTATTGAACTTTCAATAACAACACGTTCTATAAATAAATCGTTATGCTAATTCAGCAACCGTCTAGTGTTAAAAATCACAGAATGACATTTTTCTATACAGACTGGCTTTGTCCGAGTAATGAAAACCACGGGGAACTGAGAATTTATTACAGCTATATTTTGACCTTAAGGATTGTGTCACCATTTATAAGTAGAATTTCTTCAAATTTTGTAGTGATATTGCTTCGAAGTAAAGACAATTTTCTGCTACCAAAAAAATATAGGTTGTCAGAATTTTAAGGATTTTAAATGAAAATTTAGGTAAAAAGGAGTGAATTTAAAAAAAAAATGAAAGACACAATCTTTTGCAAAATAATGTCTATAAAAATGATACTGACATATATTAGTATTGCATTAATGAATATCAATTTAATAAATGCTGAAATTGTGTTAAAATGTATTATCTATAACCGATTAAAAATTAACATTTTATAATAAAACCATATACACATAGTAAATGCATGTAAGAGTTATCGTTCTTGAAAAACTTCACAGTAGTGAAATACTAAACGACGGTCTACCGCGACCGCGTAAATTACCCCCGCGCGGATAGTTTTGACCTTCAAATCGCGTAATTTTCACCCAGCGTAAATAACCACGTTTACAGTACATTTGATTCATTTATAAAAAAACAACTGAATTAATGCCTGGATTCCTTTGAAATACTTCAATATTGAGAGAACACACTGTTCTGTCAATAATTTTCAATTATGGATGTACTTCCTATTTCCGTTTATCAATACACTCCTATGAGGTCAAAATGTATAGCTGTACCAAATTTCAGATCCCTGTGTAACAAACCCAATAGCACCTAACGGATTAGTGGTGATCTGGTTACTATATACTAATTTCCACTTGCGGTTTATATAGAGGTATCAAATACAACCGGTAATGATATAGTTGTCCTGATGGCGGTGATGGGTTAGGCAGTGGTAGATCTGTAATACAAAAATATGTAAACGATTTAAAAAAGGAAGAAGATAATAATAATTCGAGGTTCTTATATACCGCTTTATCACAACCTAGGTCGTAGGTCGTCTCTAAGCGGCTCACACATTATTATCCGTGGTCTGTATTATTAATTAAACATTTCACAGCATATGGGATCTTGTAGACCAAATGAAAAGACATTGTTTCAAGACGAGCATGCAGTATGTACGCCTGATTGAACCGTGCTCTTTGTATGTGGCGTCGGGTCGTTTTTTACTTTAATATTTCATTTCCTAAATTTATGAAATTATTATAATTTTTGTTTTAAATTATTATCACAAAAGTTTTCTCTGTATTAAAATGTGGCAGATATCAAGAAGGAGACATTTAAAAATGATATATATATATTGTTCCTGAATTATGGTAAATAAATACATGTTGTATGTGTGTAAAAGCCTATTTTAAGACGCCCGTGACTGATACCCCGTGGCTGGCCCCTCACTCGATGTCGCTTGCTACTACGCTACTTGCAATTCATCACTTGAGCTATAGCGGCCTTCGGATTCGCACGCTGTTTACCTGCTGAATTTTTTTGGCTAAAACTTTACCATACAAAGGAATATACCAAACAGCTACCGGGATGTTTCATCTTGTGTGTCTTGTTGTCCTAGCGACACTTTCAGGTAAGTTATGTTTTCTTTACAATTGTATGTTTTTTAACTTTTATGTTTGAGCCGTGCTCTGTGATTTTTAATTTCACCATACTTGGCCCCTCCCCTTGTTCTCGGGATCCGTTCCATTGATGATTCCACTCCTCGTGGTACAAAGCAAATTATTTTCGTATGCGAGTTTCTTTTGTATCTGAGTGTAGGCATCGTACAATCAATGCCTCAGATATCTCGGTTAGGTCTGGACAGTGTCCTAAACCCACTCTCCGGACTTGTTAGCCGGTGACCAAAGAGTAACCGACCGGCGCCAATTTCCATGGCAACCAACGCTCCTTCTACACTTCACAGAGCTAGCGCGTTGGCGACGATAATATCATGGTGCGAAGAGATCAGTCTAGCTTCATTGGTGTTGTGTGCTATAAAAATGGTCTTTGTAACAGTATTCAGCTTCGGAAGAATATTTCCAAATGGAGCACATTGTTCGCGAACCACGCTACGTCTTCCCGTAACGTTGAAACTGAAAGCTTGATTATGCTGACTGTTTGGTATATCAAAACTGTTTCACTCGTTATAGCACGATTATATAAAATCAACATTTACTCGAGGTTCCCACCAAATAATGCTGCAGTATGTATACCTGTGAAAAAACCAGAGATTTTTACTATTTTCTTCTACGATTAGAAATCAATCCTAAAACACGTATTCCCAGTCATTGGAGTTTAACAGAGACGTCTTTTAGGTGGAATCGGTAAATATTTGTGTGAAAACAAGTTAAATTCTACGGGTCTTAATGTCTTTGATTTTAATCTTGACCGATATAAGACAAATCCTTGTAAAGAGAAAATGTTCCATTTTCAAGAAATCAACAGATAGGCGTCAATGTAATGCAAAAATAACATTTTGGTTAGTGGGGGCTTCCGACTCGGTCAACAATGTCATTGAGCTGAACAGGTCGCATTGGAAGAGTCGCGTTGCTGGTCAACACCGGAAGGATGGGACATTACAAGTGACAAGCGAGACGGTTTTATATGACAGGTGGGCCATGTCATCAATGTTACATGTGTCACACATGTGTACGGGAGCAGTCCCGAACAGTATCACAGATGATATTTCAATGGTCCAAATCACAACGCTAGTATTTAAATGAAACCGCACATTGGCGGTTAATAGATTTTGGAGAGGGAAAAATCGATACAGTCCACGGCACTCACACACAGGTGCATTGTAGAAATGGACTGTCAAGGTGAGCTCGCTCATTCTGCGGGTTCGGGCTGGAAAGTTTTTTTAAGTACAGTTATGTGATGATTTCTCGTCTACCGGGACTAATTATATCCATGTTTCTGGAAATCACGTGATAACCTATACATTTTCAATTATGATAAAGATTCAAAACGACCAGACCACGTGACTGAAGTACCTCTCGAGGGAGTGAATGATGCGACAAAGACACATGATGAGATGAACTATGCTACGGCCTAATAGCACGTTACGGTGCATTACGGCGTGTTACGGTAAAACCAGACAAGTTTAAATTGTTTTGTTCGCGCGAGTAGTGGTGCTCCTTATAGGAAAAATACCACGCTGGGGCACCACACATGGGCCGTTTTTGTTTAAAAGGTCAAACTGGTCGGACCACTGTTGTTCGTTTATTATTATACATTTTATAAGGTCGGACTTAGTAATCTGATGCTGCTTTCAGGCGAGCCTTGACAAAGCATTGCAAGGCCTGCATATACCCGTAATTGTTAAATTTTTGAACGGTCGAACCGGCTGTTCCACATAAATGAACAGGCGCCTGATGTGTATAGGGCTGTGTACGCGCCTGGGTCACGGTTAGGTCAATATGCTTGATTGTACAACTCGAATGTTTATTAGCTCACCGGGTCCGAAGGACCAAGGTGAGTTTATAATGCCATACCGTGGCGTCCGTCGTCCGTCCGTCCGTCAACAATTTCTTCAAACGACTTCTTCCAGATTTAAAATTGTACAAATGGTTTGGCTAAGACCCCTCAGTCAGTTTGCACAATTAACTAGGCGCATGATTTGTAAAATTAAGTTGTCGGTCTTGTTTCCGCTTGCACTACTTTCCGCAACCACGGTTGTTGTGTTTGGAAAATCGGATACTGAATTATTACTTGTCAAACAAACTTTGAGCACACTGTGTCTGGCGGGAAGATAAGCAACGACGTACGACGCGTGTTATGTACTGTAACGGCTAAACGCATTCCAGGAATACCTGCCGCTAGTCTTCTGTCATAGTTGACACAAAACAGGCGCGTCATCTGGCTGCTGATATTGCATCGATGTTATGAAATACATTTTTTACGTAAAATCATCGGTGCATTTGGCTAACGAACAAAGTGCATCTGCAGAAATGATGTTTATATCATAAGTTCATTTTCTCTGTCGCTGTACCGGTACAGTGCATCTACTAAAGTGTTAAAATCTATGAATGAAATGGTGAATCATGCCCCGTGCTTAATTCGGCACTTGATTCCATTTACACGTTCTACAGCTCGTACAAAGGAATGTAAAACGTAGTGCTAAAAGCCTAAGACGATGATGATCTCATTCTCCCACACAGGATATTTTCTTACTCCTCTGATTATACTGCCAAAGTTCAAGGACCAGTGTGTTTACTAAGACCTATCAAGTTAATTGGTTCTCGTCTTATTCAAGATTTGAGTAGGTCTCGCACAGTCACATGGCTTTAATAGTTAAAAATCTCAAGCTGTTTCTCCCACGCAAACGTCCCGGGGGACGGACGTCCCTATATATAAGCCCCCGTCTCCGAATACTTTCAAGATGCTGCCGCTATGCCTGAATCTGGAATTTATGAATCGAGAGTTCATGAGTCACTCGCTTACGATCTAAGCAGCAGGTCATGGCACCGGGAAGATTTCAGTACTAAAACCTGATGGCGGTCGGATCGTTTCGAAGAGCTTGATTGATTTTTGGTTGCATGCACGACTGATACTTCTTACACCCTACTAATGTCAGTTCGGATGCTACAGTAACTGGTTGCTACAGTAACTGTCGATGTCTGTCTGCTCCGACGGATTAGTCAGACGCCATGTGTCCATATACAATGTAGCTAGTCTGTTTGTTAATGGGTGTCAAGTAATTGCACCACCATCTTGTATTCTACAATGTATACTTCCGGTGCCGGCACACGTGCTGTCGCTTATAATTACTGGTAATTGTACTTTGTACAAGTCCTTTTCCGCCTTGAAAACAAGGGTTACTTACAAATTATGCTTATCTTAGTTAATGCTGACTTCAATGGTCGATGGACCGGGGAAAAAAGGGAACCGAGCTTATGGTATTGATGAGTCGTTAAGACTATCGTGTGGCCCTGTATGACATAATTGTGTTGATTGGACATCAAGACTACCGTGTGTGGGCCTTTAAGTGTAACACGATATATTGCATTTGCAACACAGAAGGAGTGCATTTCGATACGTATCCCAATATTTTGTCATACAAGGAAAAAAGTGCCCAATTTAACAAGAAATTGTCAGAAGGATATACAACAGATATTTTTTTGTTAAAACTACCATCGATTATAAAATTTAACGGATTCCCATTAAAAGTATTTGATAGCTTGTTTATGCTTATTTGCATATGTTAAAATGTCTTATAATAGACAACGTTTAACTACCTAGTGAAAACATAAAATATGCCTTTGAAAAATATTGCAATACAGCGATATTTCATTTCTGTAGTGTGATGCAATACACGATATGCCTGTGCATTGTGATATACCGGTGTTCTGATATAACGAGATTTATTGGAAGCTTGGTCGCTTAATCCTGTCACATGCGGATACACATGTGAGGCATCGGTGTGTATGTGTGCATGAGGGGGTGTGTACAATCTAACGATTCATCAGTATTATTTATTAATTCAAATTTCAGTCTTTAAAGACTTAGTTAAAATCTAACGTACAACATGTAACAATTTCTTAAAAAACTGATACGCCTCGTTTCAAATGCATTCACGTTAAGCTATTTGAACTCTGAACTTTGACCTGCTGACAGAATGGCCTCGGGGTTTTAAATGTGACATATTTTGTAAAGGATCCGACACTCGATGCGTTACAACAATCGTTTTGTCATGTGATGTTTGCAAGTTCAGATAGGTTGCGCGGGACAGATGGCAATGTGCTTTTGCTCTCGCCATTGTGTAAAGAGACAGCTGTTTTTTTCCGATTTGCAATTGGGTGTTGGCGCATATTTGGAGAAACATTTTAGTACGTGTGATATACAGTAACATTTATATACACTAAAAGTTATTTAAGGTATTCCCATGGGATATTGGATAGTTGTTTGTCAGGTACAAACGTACATAATGGATTCCGGTAATAAAGAATTTAATTGACATGCATACAAACAAACTCGGAAAATAAGCAGTAGTTGTGTGTCCGACAGAATCACATGAGCCATACATAGGTATATAATTATATATATATGGGCGACCAATCTACCGAAATGTTGTCGGGGAGCAGTCATCAACGGCATCCAGCCAGATTAAAGAGAAGGGTCTCACATAAATTATACAAATAGATTGGTATGGTAGGTAATTGGGAGGGCGTCAATGAAGTGGAGGCGAGGCTCAATGCTAATCCAGTCGACTTACGTTCCCAGCGAAAGTGACTAATTTTGAGAATGCTGGATTTGTACAGAAACTAGTATCTTTGTGCCTCGAAACATTATCATTTTTTTAACTGGCTACATAAACCAATAATATATACGTCTGTGAAGTTGTATGCACGTCACGATTGTTGTCATTTTGAAAATAATGTATTATTCATGTATTATCATTGTTTCAATGTATGTATTCATTATGTATTATCATGCTCTTTTAACTTGGAGGAAATAAAGATAATAATATAGGACAAGTGGTGACTAGATTGACCAGCATCGAAAATGCAATATTAATTAAGAACTCGGAAGTTTTTTATGTACTTAGTGACGGTCTCTGTGGTTTAACTCATTCATCCCTGAAGTTTCATA